CATTCAGTGCAGAAACTTTTGTCTTCTCGTCTGCTGTCCAAAAACATAAAAATTAGAATATATAAAACTATAATTTTGCCTGTGGTTCTGTATGGGTGTGAAACTTGGTCTCTGACATTAAGGGAGGAACATAGACTGAGGGTGTTTGAGAACAGGGTGTTGAGAATATTTGGACCGAAGAGGATGAAGTGACAGGAGGTTGGAGAAAACTGCACAATGAGGAGCTTCATAACATGTACTCTTTTCCAAGTATAATTAGAATGATCAAGTCAAGAAAGATGATGTGGGCAGGGCATGTAGCACGAATGGGGAAGAAAAGGAATGCATATAGGATATTGCTAGCAAAGCCAGAAGGAAAGAGACCACTGGGAAGACCAAGGCGTAGGTGGGTGAACAATATTAAAATGGATATTAGAGAGATAGGATGGAATGATGCGGATTGGATTGATCTGGCTGAGGATTCAGCATATCAAGAGGTAAAGGTTTCTTGAGGTGTACAGCTATCCTTCCTCTTACGCGATGTTGATTTCGGCGAATTTCGCCAGAGTGAGAATTCTTTATTATTGCTAGTGGGGTGGGGCTAAGTCCCTTGTACTGTGGCCACTTCTGGCCTGTTGTACCAGCCCCAGATGATAGGTGAGGGTGATTGTGGAGCAATTGGTGGAATGAAGATTGGTAGGGGAAACCGAAGTACTCGGAGAAAATCTGCCCCAGCGCCACTTTTTCTACCACAAATCCTACTTGACCAGACCCGGGATCGAACCCGAGCCGCCGCGGTGGAAAGCCAGCGACTAACCGCTTGAACTATGGCGCGACCACAATGAGAGTTCACTTCATTTTTAATTTCATTTTTGTAGTTACCACTAAGGCAATAATTAAATTAACTGTCTAAAAATAAATTTAATTTTACCCGAACGGGTAAAATTAAGTGAACTTAACTGAATTACGTAGCGTTAATAAAAACTAATTACAGAGAACCCAGAAGAGTAATATTAAACGAAGAAAATAGTATTCTAGTTATGCGATTGCACTTATGAATGGAACTTACTAAGTTACTTATACATGGAGCTAAGCCCTTCTTGAGGAGCCGCCAATTCTGCAGCTACTCAATAATTCCCCAGCATTTTATGGAACCCGACGGTTCATTACCGTGTTCACAAGACCCCTCCAGTGGTCCCTATCCTGAACCTGACCAATCCAACCCATACCATCCAATTCAATCTCTCTAAGATCCGTTTTAATATTGTCCACCCATATACGCCTTGATCTTCCCAGTGGTGTTTTTCCTTCCGGCTTTCCCACCAATATCCTATATGCATTCCTCTTCTCCCCCATTCGTACTACATGCCCTGCCCACCTGATCCTCCTTGATATGAATGGAACAGTCAGGTAAAATACCCCTAAATTTATATGAATGGAACAGTGATATAAATTTATGGATATTTTTCCTGTATACTCGTAGACGGGATTATAGTCAGCAATAAGGAGTTTTCCGGAACGTTAAAATGCACCAGCCAATAGTGAAAATCATAACAGTTTCCTAGGATTAGGTATTTTTCAGAACACACGCACCCCCCCCCCTCAAAAAAAAGTAGTTATGCACACTCTCCCCGTGTGTTTACTACTAGTACTGAGGAATTTGGATGGTGCCGCAGTTTGGAACGAATTACTGCATTTGATTTGCAAGAGGCGTGATATTCCTTTCGATGGCCGAACGGGACACTCTTACATTTCACGTGGGACACATATCGGCTCGTGAGCGCTCACTTGGTTTCGGACGCGGTACATCAAAGCATTGCCTTCAATTTCGCTAACCACAATGTAGGAACAAAAGACTGTGCTCTCAAGGAATTGAGCGTAATATTCTCATGGCTGTCAGTCCTGCCTCTGTTCCAGACACTTATTTCATTGTCCGCTAGTGAAATTAGAATCGCGGCTGGGTCACCAGCTGTCCTGGCTGGGGCGTTTCATGGTTTTCGTTAGTAACCCAGGGGCAATGTCGGAATTATTAGGCCACGACCTCACAATATCATTTCATCTCGAGTTTATTCACTTATCATCCTACAATAGACAAAGGTATATTCGTCCATGTGCTTAATTAATTAAGCGCCAGTCCATTAAGATATATGGGTGAGTGGATAAATAGCTCTACCATTATTGACCTCGGCTCTAGATAGTGCTGAGTGTTTTGCTTAACGTCCCTGCCGTTTTACCCCTGGGAAAAAGCCCCCCGGCACTCGTTGGATAGGAGGCTGGTCTTACCCCCGAGCCGGTCTGGAAAAAAGGGAAAAACCTGTTGCCCCTACCGGAATCTATATATCTGTCTACGGCTCTACAGTCGTTTCATTGGACCTTGGCCACTTTATTTTCAGTTTCTTAATCCTATAGACCAGGGGTCTCCAAACGTTTCGAACCGCGGGCCACATTAGGTAATACAGCACTTTCAGCGGGCCGGATAAAATGAGAAATTAATAAATCTAGGTATATGAGTTTTATTGAAAGCACAGAATTTCATAAACTAAATACAAAGTACGTGAGAATAAATTATCGTATATTAATGACAACAGACAGTAGTAACAAATGCTCATATTTTCATCACAAATTATAATAAAACAATTAATGTGAATGATGGAACTCTTTTTCCATTCTTAAAATCTGATTAAATTGAGGTTCAAATTTTGAAACGCTAATCACAAGTAGCGACTTTAAATGTTCAACGGATAAATTTGCCCTGTATTTCGACTTGATGTACTTCATCTGGGTAAAAGTTTGTTCACACAGATATGTCGTCCCAAAAATGGAGGTAAATTTACAAGCAAATTTCTTTAAATTTGGAAATGGCTCAGAGTTCAGAAATTTATAAAATTCCTTGTATTTGTATTTAATACGATAATTTTCCTGAAGTTCAATAATTTTCATTTGAATTTGACATCTGCAGCATCACAGTCAAACGAATTTTGAAACGATCTATTTTCCTGGGCACTTGAATCCAAATAGCAAATCGCTTCCGAAATTGTTCTTTCAAATCTAAAATGACTAAATTTGCAAACGAGGAAGGAAATCCTGCTTCACCCTTTTTATGCAACTCTGCACAGTATAGCATATGAACAAAGTTACAATTTTTCACTTGCCTTTCCAGAAGTATCAACTTTGCTCTGAATGCCTTGATAAGTGCAAATAAATCACAGACTAAGTTATTTTCACCCTGCAACTTTAAATTCAAATGGTTCATATGGTTCACCAGATCAGCAAAAATGCTAATTTCCAAAGCCACTTGGTATCTGATAAAAGTGGTTCGTGATGGTTTTTCTCGGTAAGAAATATATCAATTTCATTCCTGAGCTGAAAGAAGTGCGACAGAACATTTCCACAGCTAAGCCATCGAACTGCAGTATAATATGTCAGGTCAATAAGCTCGGAATCACATTTACCAGTACTCACTGGAAAATTAGTTCAATTGGCGCATTTCTGCACAATTCTTTCGCTGGCCGGTTGTGGCCCGCGGGCCGTAGTTTGGAGACCCTTGCTATAGACATACAGTAGGACTTCTTGGACGCGTGATCAGCCCCTCGCAAAGCCGCTACCTACACACAGGACAAGACAAACACAGAATAAACGCACACCCATCCATGCCTTGAGTGGGATTCGAACCCACGATCCAAGATTTCGAGCAAGCTAAGATAGAGCAATCCCTATACGGCGCAGCCACTGTGATCGGCTTGAGCTACTCATCTCGTTAAACAATCCACAAAGTAAATATACATCCGTACCGTGCTTTATATGTACACGTAGTTTCCTTCTTCATGGTTTATTTTACGAGGCTGCTATAGTTCATACGCATTCCTAGTGCCTATATAGCGTCATTAGTGAATAATGAATTGGAAAAGTCGTGGCTGCGGTCTAACTTGAGGTAGCATCCTGATATTTTCCTGGAGGGACTGAACAAACTCACGAAAGGCCACAGTCACGATACTCAATCCCCGGACTGAGATTTCAACCTACGACCCCCGAAATATATGAAAGAGGAGTGCGGGACCGGTATTTAATTACCATGCAGCATGCCTGGTGTCGTGAATAGAATGGGGTACAACTGCAGTCCCCATTTGAACAACAAGACATTCAGCGCTTCTTGGCAACGTCTTGTGTATACCGTAATTAGAATGCTGTATAGCTGTGACTGTTGCTTGAGCCATGATCAGTGAACTGCTTGGGATGTACTCATAAACCGTGTAATGATAGGATGTTTATGAATCATGAACTTGGAGGCACGTTTAAGGAAACGGTGGTTCACTGTTTTAAGATAGTGTAACCTGCAGCCACACGTTTGACACCGTCATTTTAATTACTGGCTCCTGTTATGCTCCTGAGAAGATCGTCTTTCCCGGGGTGTATCGAGTTTTGTTGGAGCAGGCAGCGCCCCCCGGTACCCATTGTACAGGAGGTTGGGTGGACCCCAGAGCCGGTCTGGACGACACGGAGAGGTGAAAATTCTTGACCCTACCGGGATTCGAACTCCGACCTCTCGGTCGTCTGCGCTATCCCGGCTCCTGAAAGTTGCATGTATTATTGAAAGGTATTATTAATCATTTCAAGAACCTGTAGTAAGCGATGTTAGTGCCGTTTACAACTCACATGTTTAAGCGTCAGTCATGTTGTTGTTACTGACTAAGAATTAAAAAAAAAACACGAGGCTGAAGTAGCTTCTAATTGAGTGTCATTCATAGTAAGTTATGTGAAAATCATGCTGAAATGTGGGAAGCTTATAGACAGCATTGTTGTATCGTAAGGCAGGAGAAGAGAGTAAAATGATACTCGGTCTCACTGCTGCGTCTCTACTGTTTTGTTATTGGTGTTATTGTGACTGTTGTTGCTGTTGATGCTGAGGGTGGACCGGTGTGACACGCGTCTTGTGTAAGCGGGGGAGGGAGGCTGTAGAAGTTCGGCCAGTCAGCGCTCCAAGATGGCTGGAACAGAGCCTGCTGACTGGTGGAGTGGCTAGCGCGCGCGCGCGCGCGTCTCGCAGTGTGTGACGTGCAGGCAGAGGTAATGGGTGTGTGTTAATGCGGTACTTTGTGATGTATTGCTGTTGCAGCACGTGTTTTACAGCGTTAACGCGATAATGAACCGAATGTAGCATGTAATGGAAGTAAGGGACTGAAATACACGAGGTCTGACTAGTTATAACACCTGTTGAAGAACACAGTGAAATGTGAACTTTTGATGAATACGAAAAAACACAAATGACGGCGGACGGTAACTAACACCTGTTGAAGAAGACCGTGAAATGTGAACTTTTGATGAACAGAGAAACACAGAAGTGTGCCATCGGACTGTAACACCTGCTGAATAACATCTCCTGTAGTCTTCGGACCCATATTGTTTGGTGAGTTGTATTCATATTACTCTGTTATTATTACTCCGAGGACGCGTTTGACTGGAAAGGCAAAAGATGTCACACCCCATAGCAAGACGTTGGCGGGTGGATACTATGAATAGAAATCGGTTGTATCAAAGATCGCGTTGTTGTGGTCAGCACTTCGACTGCATATTTAAGAATCTCGATTGAGGTCAAATTTTCTGTGACTTTTGTCTGTGACACCAGACGAACAGTTGAGGTTCGGTCAAACGGTAACGCGTATGTTTGTGTTTCGTGAAGTGTTTATTTGAAATCCCACAATGGGTACCACTGGCCTACCATTAATTCGATTTGTTTTGTCTTTCCTGGGTGAATATGGAGGTAGCACAGACTGCAGACACTTCCTGTTCTATCCTATCGAACTGAACTAGCATAATCATATAATTCCATTGTAAAACCAGTGGAGCTGATAGTAACCAGTCGTACGCATTTTAAATAACGATACAAGCTCAGTCGATATAGTGACTAGGCTGTGGGATACACGACCAGGAATCAGGTTTCGATTTCCGTTATAAGCAAAGTATTTTTCTCTTTTCCACGGCGTCCAGGACGGCTGGTGGAGGTCTGTGACGGCTAGAGCATCAAGTTCACAATCATGCCAAAGTTGTGAATGCCTTTAATTATTCTTCCACTTCCCGGTGCTTGGTTAAGCTTAGGGACAATTTTTTCTTTTTGCTTGTTCAATGTGGGAAATGCGTCTCTGTGTCAGGTCATCATGATGCTCTGTTTCGAGGTCCTCTTCTGAGGACTGAATATATAAAACCGAGTCGTAGCAATGCAGCCCGCGCGTCTAAGTGAGGGCCACCCTGTCTCTCATGTTCAGTCTTGAACGCGTGTCCCTCGTTTCAAGCGCACACGTTTCTAATTCAGTATTCATGATGCATCTACGGAACACAATGCAGGACAGTATGTACTGTGCGTGCACACACACACACACACACACGCAGGTCCATATTTACTTTTCTTGTCATTGCACCTGCAGATTTCTTCCTCTGTGAATGGCTAATTTGTCGGTAGGTCATTTAATGACGTATAATTGCAGATGCTTGGCTTCGAATTAGGTGATAGGATGTTATATAGAGTGAATTGGGGAGGAAGCGCTCGTCACATGATTGTATTATCCCGACATTTGCCAGGAAAGAGAGAGAAAAATCACGGGATCTTCAGGGTAGCCGTGCCCTGTCCAAGATTTGAACCATGTATATCCCTAATATAGCCGGTCACGGTAACCGAGCGGTCAGAGATATGTACTGTCTTCACTCGCTCAGAAGCCGGGATCGTGGGTTCGAATCCCATTCAGGGAATTGGTGTTTAATGTTTGTGTGCAGGTAGAGGCTTTGCGACGAGCTGATCACCCACCAAAGGAGTCCTACTAAATGTCTAAGATCTAGCAAACCGAAGTGGGGGGCACGTGGTAGCGTAGTTGATTGAGGCACTATGCTACAAGCCGGAAGGTCGCGGGTTCGAATCCCGATGATGTGTTTTTCTTTTCAATTTACCTAATCCTTCTAGCCGCACTATGGCCCTGGGGTCGACTCAATCTCTAACAGAAATGAGTACCAGGAATATTCCTGGGGGCAAAGGGCGGCCGGCGCGTAAGGCTGACATCCTTACCGCCATCTGTGAGCCGATTGTCTAGAAAATGTGGGAGCCTCAACGTCTCACAGCCTTCTGGGCCTCCAGGGCCTGTTACAGGGACACCTTTACTTTTTAATGTGCATTTAGGCGTAGATAGACGTAATACAGTCGAACGTCATAATACCGCGTATTCAATCATTTTAGGTCTCACAGATTTCTGCGAATTATTTTAATTAGTGTATACAACCGTATTGCTACATCCCTTGCTGTATTACGGTGCGCATTTTAGACATCGCATAAATAATGTATACGTAATAATAGGTATTTAAAAATTAGATAGTCTACGAGTAAAGTATCAACTCTGGTTAGTCTTACACTGAGGCATCCTGTGCCTCTTCTTTCTGGCATTGCAGTGTATTTCGGACCTGCACTTTATTCCATATTGTGGAGACTTTCTAAATCCTTGGTCAGACAAGCGTTCGATTTTGAATGCATACTCCATCACTGAGCAATATAAAAAAAAGTGGAAATGCTTCTAAGCTCGAAGCGAGATTCGAACCCCTGACACCAGTGATAGAGCCGTTTTAGACCGAGTTCCCGTTGGCATGTAGTCCAGTTAGACCGTCCCTCTCTGGAACCCACAATCCAATGAAGGCAGGGCAAGCAGGCGAAAGGTCTAACACCCCTCTAGTCTCGTTATGCCGCGGAGATTCATGCTACAGAGTTAGCCTAACTAATTACTCTCCATATCACAGCAGATGCTACAGGTTGAATGAAGTTTTTTTTTTTTTGAATTTATTTCATTTCATTTTTTCCATTGTACTGGTTCTCCGTCTTAGGTCCAAACATTCTCTTAAGCCCTCTATCTTAAAACGCGCTCTATTTATGTTTATCCGTATCATGAGAAACTAAGCTTTACGTTCATAAAAAAGAAAATATAAATTTATACATTTAATTTCTTAGAGTTGAATATATATGGAATAGAGATAAGAAGACGTGATCAAGGAAGGCCAAGAAGAAGATGGCTTCTTTGAGGACGGAAAGGCCTAACAAGCTCAACCCTTTCAGATGATGATGATGATGAATAGATACATTTTGTAGACTGAATGATTGTAAGCATTTACGAAAGTAAAACAGCTTCTAACTTCATGGTGAATATCATTTGCATATGTTAATGTCGAGACAGTGTAGTTGAACGTTGATATATTTTTATATGTTTATAGCCGTTGCAACGCCTTTGTTAAGTAAGATATCAGTGTACACTGAGATGAGTCTCGTGCTGTGTTCTCTTGCGCTGTGCATCCAGAGGAGAGAGTTGGAATGCAGAGTCCGACTCCAGACAATGCAAAACTGGTTATGGGGCGGATTCATCCCAAACCTGAATTTTAATTATATCGTTCTGTCTGCTCGCGCCGGCGCATCTGTGACATGGTAGTAATTGAAGCCATAAGTCACATAACACAGGACATCTTGCGTCTGGGAATGGGTAATGAAGAAAATTGTCCACTGATCTGTCTTTCATCACCTAAACATACAGCTATTCTAATCATCTTTATAGCCAATCTTCTAATCAACTTCTAATACAGTAAACTGTAAATGTCATTCTGTGAACTTGTATCCTTGTACCCCATGCATTCTTAACAACTTAAAAGCCATAACAGAGAGAGACAGCGAGAAAGGACTGCGAGACTGCCTGCAGTTACGAATACAACTGCCGTGAGTGAGCAGTATTGGGTCCAGCATCAATGTCTCCTCGCTTCTGCCAGCAAGAAGTTACGAGTAATGTTATCAGGTGTACCTCAGATATGGGAAACCGGGATAGCTCAGTCGGTATAGTGACTGTATGCGGGCTGGACGGCCGAGGGGTCGGAGTTTGAGTCACTGTAGAATTTTCTCCTCTCCTCGTCGTCCAGACCGGGTCTGGCGCCCACCCAGCCTCCTGTCCAGTGGGTACTTGGGGCTCTTTCCCTGGGGGTAAAGCGGCCGAGGCGTGAAGCTGACCACTAACCCCCAATTATGGCCGAGGTCAAGAATACGGGGATCTATAAATCCACCCCCCATACGCCTTCATAGCGTAGTACTTAATTAGTGTAGCACAAGGACAAATTTACCTTATCTCTATTTTTACCTCAAACATGGGGCAATGCCCATTATGTATATAATTACACTACGTGCGTGACACTACTCCCTGTAAAGATGCTGTTATAACAGCACTCGTCTGTTCTAAATTCTGGACTCGCTATATCTGAAATGATATATAGGAAAATGTAGTATGTTTTATTGAATCCAGAACAGGCAATATGAACCTGGGGCGGGCAGAAAGCAACGACACGTAAGGGGTTACACGTGGTAGAGTCGTTAAGTTCGTGGAATGTGGTTTTGATCGCATCATATTACAAGGTATTCACATACACTTACGCAGATCCACATCGGCCCTCAAAATAGTTGCCGTTGGCCGCTATGCAAGTCTGCCAACGTTTATATAGCTGTCGAAAACGTTGCTCAAACATATTGGCAGTAAATTCCCGTACGACGCTTTGCGGCCATTCCACGAACTTATTGACTGTAGTAGTATATTTCCTCTTCCCTTGATACTGAACTCTGACTTTAGGACCCTAGGAAAAGAAATAAGAGAAAGGTGGACACAGTGATATACTGGAGGACTTCCTGATCTCTGGGTGTTTTTTACCTAACACTATTAGATTGATAAGGTCAAGAAAGCTGACGTAGTCCCGACATGTAGCACGCTTTGGGAGACGAGAGGTGAGAACAAAACTAACATCGAAAAATTTCAGGGGACGGAATTACTTTGGAGACCGAGATATAGATATGTGGGTAATATTAAAGTACAAAAAGAATTCCCTGGTTTTAGTCCGCCAGCGAACTATAACGATCGAGCGACCACCGCTTATCGACGAAGATAGTGCCAACTGTAGCGGATAGAGTGTGTCGCGTGGTCAACACAACAGATCCCCATGGCCATTAATTTCGGTTTTCTAGACCGGAGCCGCTGTTTCCTTGAAATAGCTCCTCAATTATCCTCACAAGGCTGAGTGGACCCCGTTCCAGATCCACTACTTCTCAGAAAATCTGGTAGCGCCGGGAATCGAACCAGGAGCTCTGGATCTGTAGCCATAAACTAACCCCTAGACCACAGGGGCTGTCAATATTAAAACGAGAAATAAGATGTGAACCAGGTTCAGAAAAAGGGCGAGTTCCAACATCAATAAAAAGTGGTTAACTTATTCACCAGTTCAGGCATGTCAAATTCAACTTGTACCGAGGGCAACCTCAGCCCTATAAATAAGAGTCCAGGGCCGCACTTCAAAATAGAAATATACATTAGATTTTGATACAAGGAAATTTAATTCTATTTATTGTTTAGGAAA